AAATATGCTATATAAATGATATCTAAATTTATAAATGGTTTTATTATTACACTAACTACATATAAAATGATATATAAAGTAAATATATACTGTTAATAAATAAAATTTACTATGTCCTTATAAGTACCGAATAATATATATTTATATAAAAATAAGTATAAAATAAATAGTTAAATAATAAATGCAATAATTTGATCAAATATATAAAAGTAATTAAAAAACGATGGACAAGCGATGTTTATATACATTTGAAATCTTCATACATAAAATTTACAAGATTAAACGTTTCAATTGCACAGTCTTTATCGACAATACAGAAAAATTATGACATTTACATAATTGCTTAACAAAATAAAATTAATGAAACATGAATATAATAATAAAGAAATAGAAAAGTAAATGGTCTAAAAGCTATCATTTTGTTGCTATACGAACTAAAGAACTATCTTTTAATCAACAACTTTAATACGTCTAACCTTTCACTCATTCATTGTGACGTAAATAAATCCAAATATACATAACAATAAACCCATAAAAATTTAATAAATAAATCAAAAAAACTAACAAAAATACAGCGCTGTACAAAAGAATATCGAGTATTGTAAACTCAAATATAAATAAATTAATATTAATCTAACCTAAATATGTTTTAATTAATATTAAGTTGCGTGCTACGTATTGAATATTATTCCTATTAGCTTTGTTACGATACGTTATTTATTTTATAAAGGCCCTGCTTATTTATATTTGGATTCTTTTACATCTCATAATAGGTTAAGGATAGATATTAAAGTTTCTGTTCGAAAGGCAGATTTCAGGTCTGGAATATTAATACTTATAACAGCAAAATGGCAGATTTCAGATCATTAATTTTCTATTGCATAATATAAATATTTGAATATTCCTTTGTATAAACTCAATATTTATTTGAACATGCATTCGCGTGATACGTAGAGCGCAACATAATATTAATTAAAATTTGATTCCATATAAAAGAAAAGTAAGTGATCTGAAATCTACCGTTTTGTTGCTTACATATACGGAAATGACAGATTGTACTTTTTTACCAAAAAACTTTAATGTGCATAACTTTTCACTCATCTATTTTGATTTTAGTAGAAATCACATAACATAACTAAATAAAATAATAATTCACAAAGGCTGAGAAGTACAGAGCTGTACGAAATAAATATTAATTACGAAAACCTAACCTAAATACGTTTTAATTAATATTAAGTTTCGCACTACGTGTTGGGTATTATTCCCATTAGCTTTGTCACGATACATTATTTATTATATTTTTAAAAACCCTGTTTATTTATATTTGGATTCTTTTACATCTCAATAGAA